CCGTTAAAGCAGTTGTATATTTTTATGGCTTTGATGCAGAATCTGCCCCCCTGTCGGGTTTTGCATCTGCTACTCTTACATCTCTCCCAGAGCTCTAAAACTTTAATATGCAGTTTATAACCCTCAAGTATTTTCCACTGGTTTTGTGTTTCTTCTCTTGGGATTTCCGGGCTGCTGAGATGATCTCATTTGTGTTTATTTTCTAAGGTAAGCACCACATTCGTAAAAGAGATGGAGGGGGAGAACACACGTTCATCACTGTAAATACACTGAACGTGGAGCTCATAGGAGGCGGGGGCTTTGTCTTCGAGGGGGAGACAGGCAATAAGCAGTTGACACTTTGGTAAATGGCCCATTTGGCTGGTTGATACACCCACACATCTTCCGTTTAAAAATGTTGATTTGACTTGATACTTGAGCACATCACAGCATGCCTCTTGTTACATCCCTGAAGTTTCCGTTTCATTGAGTTCCACAGTGGAGAACTCCTTATTCCCAAGAACTGAGATGGTTACTCGGCTAACCTCCTCAAAATATGCTCCGGGTATAAATCTCGCTGAAGGTTGGGAGTGGGTGGGCTGGGAATGTCGGTGTGCCAACAAGATGTGCCACTGGTACTTGCTCCAGAAGCTCTTGCCCTGTTTTCTTTGAGAGAAACTCATCTTTAGCTTATGAGCTAAATCCAATTTTCGTTGCAGTGATACCAGATTTTTCACTTTGATTCATGCTGGATCAGGTTTAAGAGGGAACCTTTCCAGTATAATGAACCTATGGTTTTTTTCCCCTCCCTGGTCTCCCTTACGCCAAGAACTAAGGATTTATACTGTATCCACGTAGGAACCTGAATACTTTCCATTGTTTCCCACTGATGGTCTGTATACATGCTTATTAGCTTGAAGTTCAACTAGAAAAAAAAATCAAATCAGCGTAGGGGTTCAGAAATGCCTATAATTTAGTGTCTTTGCTTTCTAGTATTGTTCTTTAATTAACAAAGAGGCATTTACAAATATTGGACAGGGTGACAGGTGGGTGACTTTTATTAGCATTGATTTACTCCGTCCCAGAAATAGAGAGGACACTGTGAGCTTCCGCCTGGCATTTTGCATTGGACTTATTAAACATTTATGCCCACTTACTGAATCCAAACTCCCGAACTGGAGCATTGATGGATAACATGGTAACTTTCACTCAACAAAAGATACATGTCACATCACAATGTGAGCACATAATTAAGATGTCTTCTTTCTACATATTTCAAGCATAAAGTCATTTTCATTTTGTTGAATCTATATCTGAATCATCTGCCCAAGGATTTGCTTCAAATATGCAGTTAACTGTGTCCCAGCATCTAAGGCCAGCACACCTGGTAGGCAAGGAAAAAATAATAATAATAAATCAGTTCCTACCATCCTATGTGAGTCTAAAGGAAGCCTGCCAAACAGTTGAGGGTTCCTGCCCTTGAAATTAACCTTCAGTCTTAGTGGCAAGAGAAGAGAGCCATACTGTCCAAAACCAGTCACAGGGGGGAAAATCCCCTAGTGGAGATGGTGGAGGCACAGCTTCAAAGCAGGCGAGTTAGGAATTATAAGGGTTGCTATTTTCCATTGTTCCTTGTTGCACACATTTATTGTATTCAGAGACTGAGATTGGCTGGGTTGTCAGCCAGTCATGATGGAGATCCAGTGGGGTCATTTGCATGTTGTTTATCTGCAAATCGTGGGCAGGATACTTTGCATAAAGGAGAGTGGTATGGAAGGTGAAAGAAGGAGAGTAACCTTGGTTTGCTATCAAAAGACGTCCAGGTATGGTGTTAGGTAGCTGATACCTGCACTGTGCCAGGCAATCTTCTAGATCAAAGAGCAGAACAGATTGAGAGCCCTGCCCTCCTGGAGCTTGCATTCTAGCAATGGTGAGAGTCTTTGTCCTTCATTTCTGTGATCCAGGCTACTTGATTACTCGTACAACCCAGAAGGGTCACAGCAGCTCTTAAGAAGGAGACTAACTAGAGACTTCACACAGAGACCCCTTGGCCAGCTCTAGGCTGGCAACAAGAAGGGGACAGCTGAGCAAACCAGCCACCTGGGAGACCTACAGGCTTTCTCCACGAAGCCTCTTCCCTAAGCATGCACTGCCTGGACCCTCCTCGTTTTACCCAAGGGCACTTGGCCTCCCAGGAAGTTCATGTGCAGTCCTTCCCATGTCCCTTTCACAGCATGAGAATCCCTCTCATGTGCCCTGCTAGGAGGAGCCCAAGGAGCCTGGTGTTAAGACCTGCAAACACCTTATCCTGCATCAGAAAGATTATTTCCTCCTGCAGCAAATGAGGTCCGAAGTGGAATCCTGCCTCTGCCCTTTTAGCAGCTTGCGTTCCCCTGGCTCTACTGCCGAGCTTCTGTTTCATGTTCTATCTCAACATCTAAATCCTCCAAGAATTATTGTAAAACCTGCTTGTCGCTGAGAGGGATCTTGTCTCGCTCAGTCTGCGCCGCAGCCGAGGATAATGAATGGGTCAGCATAATTACCGCGTCTCCTCACACAGGCGGCCAGCTGCTCTGCCAGATTGTGAGTTTTTTTCGTTTTCTTTATTTCACCATCCAGGGTGTTCCTCTGAAAACTTCATATCTGAACGGTAGCAAGACAGAGTCGGAGTCACAGGCATGCTTGCTGGCTCGTTTTCTCCCCGGTTCTGAAGCCAGCATCCCGTATCGTATTACTCCTGACCTTTGATGGTGTTAGGACCCCCCCACTTTCCCCATGGAGGTTTGACACCTCTCTGCAAATCAACCGCATGAGCTGAAACACTGGCCAGGAAACATGGGTGCTGGGGGCCGGCAAGCGGAAAGTTAGGTACAGCTGTGTGATGTGTCTTCAAGGACAGGTTTCGAAAAAGGTTAAGGATAACCTATATGGCCTTCTCAGACACAAATCGAAAGATAACATCTTTCTGGCTTGGTAGTTACAATCCTAGCATTTTACCAGCATTGTGAGAGAAGGATGTGGTAGAATCTACGAAACAGGCTGGCTGGTGGCCAGTGGAGAACACGCAGAGAATTCCAGACAGTAGTCAGTCAATCTTTACTTCCGGTTCAAGGGTGATATTCCGGTCGGTCCAAGAAAGGGTATAGAATTGGGAATGGCCCCTGTGGTAAACCCACTCTCTTCCTCTCCCCATCCTCTGCCACCCACATGCAGCTGCAAACTTGCTCTGTCCAAGGACTCTGGGAGTAAGGGGAAGAGATGGGGTGGAGTGTTTCTACTCTTGCACGTGATGGCAGGGAGGGGGGAAAAGCCCCTCTTAGCGGTTTGGATGTAGGGCGGAGGCAACTTTAGGTACACAAGATGAGAGGAGAGAAAGGAACAGGGAGAGAAGATTCCCTGAATAGTCTGCCAGTCATCTGGCTGGACCACAGCCCTCAGCTTCATCCACTTGTCCATGTACTTAAGTCATCTGGAACTGACTGTGTGTGAGATCTAGACCCTACTGTGGACAAAATCAGGAGCTCCTGCTGACTTGGGGAGGCACGGGGACAAGCAAAGATGAATGGGATATGGAGGGAGGCCTCAAGGAGCTTGCAGATGAACAGAAGAGTTACACGTAGTAAATGACTGAGTCTCTTCTCAAAACCAATACCCATGAGAGGTTGGGTGTTCTGCAAACTCAAGCTCCTGGAAGAATGAAGTTTGGGGGTGCTGGGTTAATGGCATTCATACACTTCCCTCCCTATAGGACTTTCCAACCCTTCAATCTAGATCTCCTGGGACAGCAGTCTCCTAAATGCATTTTCCTTAAAAAGCACCCCCTCCGTGGGATGCAGTGCGGGCAACCGTGGGACGGGACGAGCATGGCCAGCACAGTGAGGGCTCTGAGACTCAGAGAACAGAAGAGCAGGAGGGCAGAGGGATTTTCCAAAGGCTTCATGGGTCCTGATGCATTAGGATTTGCAGACATCCAGGCAGGACAGACATCCCCGGCAGAGGCAACCTTATTAACTACCAGGGGTCTCGAGCATCACGCTTACTAAGGGCCCTCTTGACTCCGCACTGAGTCAATCTACTCAGAGAATTTTCCCCCAGGGAAGAAAACCTCGCCCACACCATCTTCGTAAGAGTTCCCAGACTTCTCTGTAATTATAATTGTTGTATAAATGGATTTATAAGCTGTACAAAAGGCCAGGGGGCTGATGGGACGTCGGTAATAATTTGCTTCTTAGAGTATGAGGGGTCTGTACACTTATGATGCATACACTTGCCTGTGGGAACGCTGTAACTCAAAAATTTTCAGCAAGCAGTTTATGTACATAAGGAAAAATATGGGAACGAAATAAAAATGGGATGGGGAAAAGCTATGAATAGGCAACTAACATTTACTCACAAAGTTTGGCGCCAGAGATAACTACGAACACACTGAAATATGTATGTATAGATACATTTAATTATATACATTATATACATCCTCACACATAAGAAATATGCATACGTACATATTCACAGACACACACGCACACTTACACACACATATACAAACATTCTCACAGAAGCACGCATACTTATAAACGCAGGCATACACATAAGCACATTGTGTGCTCATCCCCAAATACATTACACACAATATGCATATGTGTCTTTGTGTGTGGATAGATACATGGATGATAGGTAGATGTGAGAACGCATCGCACATACATCGACAGTTTACCTCTTTAGAAGTTTAGGTGTGTGCAGTGAGCTTTTCCTCCCGTTATTAACGATTCTTTGTGAATGGCTGCCCTTGCCCTTGGGCACACGGACCACCAGCTAACTAGCCCATCCTCTCTGGAATCGGACCTTGGTCTCCTCCCTCTTGCCTACCTTTAGAAGCCCGACTCCGGGAAGGAAGGGGGCCAGGTGTCCAGCCCTGGCCGGCGGGGAGAAGGATCGTGGGTCGGGGAGGGGGTGGGGGGTGCCCTCGAAGGCAGGTGTGCGTCTGAAAGCCTGCGTTCTGCTCTCTCCTCTCTCGCCCGCAGTGCCCGGCTTCCCGTATCCAGCCGCCACCGCCGCGGCCGCCTACCGAGGGGC